TATTTGGAAGGAGCAACCATCATGATATTCTAACAGATTGGATGTGGGGTGTGAGATGATGAGAGAAGGCAGGACACCTCAGTGTTGTGGCCTGACCAGCAGGCTAGGTGGGGCACAGGGGACACTGGGAGACACTTCAGGCGGAAAAGGGAGAATCGAGAGTTCTGTTTCTTTCACTTTTCATTATGGTAAATTTTAAAATTGAGATGTAATTCACATATCATAAAATTTACCCTTTAAAAAATGTTCAATTCAAGCTGGGCAGGGTGGCTCATGCTTATAATCCCAGCATTTTGGGAGACCGAGGTGGAAGGATTGCTTGAGCCCAGGAGTTCAAAATTAGCCTGGGTAATATAATGAGACTTCATCTCTACAAAAAATTTAAAAAATTATCCAGGCATGGTGGCCTGCACCTGCAGTTCCAGCTACTTGTTGAGACAAAAGGATTACCTGAGCCCAAGAGGTCGAGGCTGTGTGACAGAGACCCCGACACAAAAATAAGAAAATTACCTTTTTTTTTTTGAGTTGGAGTCTCACTCTGTCGCCCAGACTGGAGTGCAATGGCCGCTCCCGGTCACCACAGCCTCGACCTGCTGGGCTCTGGAGATCCTTCCGCCTCAGCCTTCCAAGTAGCTGGAACTACAGGTGTGCGGTACCACGCCCAGCTAATTTTTTTTGATTTATTGTAGAGATGAGGGTTCACCAAATTGCCCAGGCGGGTCTCAAACCCGTAGGCTCAGGCAATCCGCTCCCCTCAGCCTCCCAAAGGTGCGGGATTATAGGCTGAGCCACTGAGCCTGGCAGAAAATTACCTTTTTAAAACATATAGTTTGGCCAGGCTTGGTGGCTCAGCCCGTAATCTCAGCACTTTGGGAGGCCGAGGTGAGTGGTTTGCCTGAGCCTGCAGGTTCAAGACCCACCCGGGCAACTTGGGGAGACCTCGTCTCTACAATAAATCAAAAAAATTAGCTGGGCATGGTAGTGCACACCTGTAGTTCTGGCTATTTGGAAGACTGAGGCGGAAGGATCGCCGGAGCCCAAGAGGTCGAGGCTACGGTAGCTGGGAGCATGCTTTTGCACTCCAACCTGGACAACAGAGTGAGACTCCAACTCAAAAAAAATACACACACACACACACACACACACATATAGCTTAGTGGTTCAGTGGTTCTTAGAATATTCACAAGGTTGTGCAACCCTCACCACTACCTAATTCTTGAACATTTGATTAGGAAATGAGAATCAAACTATTTTTTTTTTTAAAAGAGAACATTTGATGACCCCAAAAAGAAATCCCAAACTGGCATCCTCCCTCCCTGACATCTAATTTCAGTCTCTATAGATTTGCCTGTTCTGGAAATTTCACATAAATGAAATTACACAACAGGTAGCCTTTTGTGTCTGACTTCTTTTGCTTTGTGTAATGTTTTCAAGGTTCATTCATGTTGCAGCATATAATCAGTCCTTCATTATTTTCATGGCTGGAAAATATTCCATTACATGGCTATACCACACTTTATTTATCTATTCATCAGTTGATGGACACTTGGGTCTTCACTCTTTGGCTATCATGAATAATGCTGCGATGAACATTCATGTACAAGTGTTCGTGTGAACACGTGTTCGGTTCTCTTGAGCATATACCTAGGAGTGGGATTGCGGGGTCATATAGTCACTCTAGGCTTAACTTTTTGAGGAACTGCCAAATTGCTTTCCAAAACAGCTGCACCATTTTACATTCTCATCAGCAAGTATGAAAGTTCCCTTTTCTCCAGATCCTCGCCAGCATCTGTTATTGCCATCTTTTTGGCTGTGGCCATCCTAGTGGGAGTGAGATGGAGCCTCACTGGGCTTTTATCTATATTACCCTACTGACTAAGGTTCTCATGTGCTTATTGGCCATTTGTCTTCTTTGGAGAAATGTCTGTTCAAGTTATTTTCTCTTTTAAAAACTGGGTTATTTGAATTTTTATTGTAAGAGGTCTTTATATATTCTGGATACCAGACCCTTATCAGATATATGATTTCCAAGTATTTTCTCCCACTCTGTAGGTTGTGCTTTAAGGTTTAGTTCTGGACTTGTTGAATGTGAGATGTTTCATTAGACGACTAAATAGTTAAGTAGAGAACTGAGAACTGAGAGGTCTAAAGGCAGAATTGTCAGTATATAGAAGAGTAATATCTAAAATCACAAAACAAGGTACAATCTCTCAAGAGAATAAGTGGCCAGGCATGGTGCCTTACACCTGTAATCGCAGCACTTAGGGAGGTTGAGGCGGGAGGATTGCTTGAGCCCAGGAATTTGAGACTAGCCTGGGCAACAGAGAGAGACTCCATCTCTCCAAAAAAAAAAAAATTAGCCAGCCCATGATTGTACCACCACACTCCAGCCTGGGCAACACAGTGAGACCTCAACAACAAAAATTTTTTTTAATTAAAAAAAAATTAGAGAATAAGAATCAAGGGAGTCAAGAAGATGTCAAGGGACACGCTAACATTCAGAAGTCACCCAGGAGGGAAGAGCCACCCGGGGAGACTGAGAAGGGGTGGCTGGTGAGATAAAGGCAACCAAGAGTGCGTGGGTCCGAGAAACCTGGGGAGAAAGTGTGTGGGGAGGCTGGGACCGCCTGGGTCCGATGCTCCTGATAAGGAAATCATGGTGGAGACTGAGAAACCAGAGCCTAGTGAGCTGAGGTGATGGTAACTTGACCAAGAGAAGAGGAAAGTGGGGAAGGCTGCCTCGTCGGAAAGGGTTCAAGAAAAAGTGGAAGAGAGGCCAGGCACAGTGGCTCACACCTATGGTCCCAGCACTTTGCGAGGCTGAGGCGAGAGGATTGCCTGAGCCCACGGGTTCGAGACCCACCAGGGCAATTTGGCGAGACTTCGTCTCTACAATAAACCAAAAACTAGCCGGGTGTGGTAGCGCACGCCTGTAGTTCCAGCCCCTGGGAGGGCTGCGGCGGAAGGATCACTGGAGCCCAGAGGGTGGAGGCTGCGGTGACTGGGATTGTGCCACTGCACTCCAGGACGGGCGACAGTGAGACTCCGACTCAAAACAAAAAAAAGATGGGAGAAACGGCATTGTTTGTACCAGGTGGGAATATCCAGTGGGAGGGATGTGGGGGAGAGCGGGAACGACTGCCGGCGTCCTGGCGCGGGAAGGGACGCCTGGAGCCCAGGGAGGGGCTGGCCCCCGCGCACAGACGGGCCCTGGCGGAGGCCGGGAGAGCGGCCGGCGGGCGGGCGGGCGCCTGTGCTCCGAGGCCTCCCCGGGGAG